TTTCTAAACTGTTAAGTCGGGAAGACTTCATTTCATTAAAAAATCTAGTGATATAGGTCTAGAAATAGGTGATACAAAACTTCTCAAGTTGTCGCACAATAATGTTGCTGTGCAACTTTTATGTAAATGTTTATCGTTTTCAAATTGCCTAACACTGATAATTATTCGCAAAACAAACACGAACTATGAAATGCAGAAGTGCCGACGCTAAACGTTAAAAACAACCATGTTGCGCAATGTCGCTCTTGTTGTCTTTTCACTCTGTATTTCTTTGCATTAAAAAAGGCTTGAATCTGACACGAGAACACAAGACCGGACAATAAACAAACTTATAAGCATTCCATTGCCGTTAAACATTATAAGCATTCCATTGCCGTTAAACAAGGTTAAACATTATAAGCATTCCATTGCCGTTACCTTAATTGCTGCTAAGACTTTCAAAACAGAACCAAACAGACGAAGTGCTGCAGGTCCTGCTTCTAGCTCTAATGTAATGACATCAGGTTCCATCTCTGATGGTTGCCATTTCAGGGGTTCGTCTCTAGGTACAATGTACTTGGGATTGGGGATTATAGGATGATACATATATCCAATAGATAGACCTAAAATTGGTACAGACATAACATCCACCCATCCATGATTCTTAGCTGTATGCCTACTAAATATGGTACTAAATGTATTATTGTTTGAGCCCGCAAATGCACTTTCATCAGCACTTTCAATGCCTTCTTCTGGGAACCCTGTGCTGGTAGATGATCGYGATCGAATGACAGGATGGGTTTGAGATTTTGTTGCTGTCCTAGCGAGACAAAGTAAGCTACGATGCAAGGTGTCATGCTCAGGTAGACATAATCTTGCTACAAGCTTTTCAACCTAACAAAGAAAAAATCAATACTTTTACAATCAAATAATGATAATAACAATAAGCAAAGTGCAGTGATGCCATATTTAGCAATAAAGCACGATGGGAGCTGTACTTTTTTATGTATGCCACTTAAAACAGTCCTCCTAAGCCGTTTTTGCTTTTTCTTTGTAAAAATAGCTAAAAATGTATTGTGTCTACAAAGAACATAGAAACGTCTTTTACATTGCTTTTGTTTAGCGGTCATAAAGAGTGTGAGAACTACAAATCCCATCATGCTTTGTACTACAAAATGGCGTCACTGCACATTTCCTATTATTACATAATTATTTAATGAGCTAATACTGTAAAACATGGTTTGAGTTTGTATGCTGACCAGTTTGCTGTAAGGAGTTTTGTGTACTGTCATAATTAATGTTGAGGTACATAAAGTGGGTGTGAGTGAATACATAGAGGGCAAGAAGTTCACTAAAGTGTAGAGACTATCATATGCCACCCCATTCAAAATAAAAGACTTAATATTATCATGAAATTAAAGTCGATACGAATTGCAGCTTATACCATTGAGATTTAAACCTATACCTGTAGGAAGAACTTTATTTCTTCAAATTCCGGTAGAAATCTTAAAAACTGAAGCACAAAAGTCAAGTCAAAGAGTTCACCACAGAAAGCCAGYTCAGCTGAAAAGATACACAAGAATCCATTTAATTTACATTAGTTGCAAATCAAAATTAGACATTTTCATGAAGATATACAATTCAAATATGTACTGGGCATGTCCTTATTGCTTTAGATGCAATGTAATATCATGCCACCAGTAGCAAATGATGATTTAAGTCAGGAGCTGATTGTTTGAAGGGCTATTARCCCTTTCCACTGGGCTASGTAACAGCTCTTGKAGAGGGKGAAAKKGGGRAAACGGAAGAGGAAGTGGCATCAGGGGAATAAAGGAAACCCTCCTCCTGCAACCCCTTACAACAACCCCCAAACGACAGCCTTTTTTGAAACTCACCCATTTCCTGTTTATTTGACGTGCATTCCACGTAGTTATATTCATTTGCTATCCAAATCATTTCAAAATCTCTAAGTGCAATGTTGAAGGACCATTCATAGGGAACAAAGGTCACTAGGTCAGGACGGTAATTTGCTGTCCAATCTTCCAGCATTTCTGGTGAGATAATTTAACATTTGAATATCAGCATTTTGCTTTCATTATACTAATATATCTTTTACAATCAGTATTATGTACTGCTGCAGTAGATTTAACTAACCAGTGAGACTGAATTGAAAGAAAATTGTACAAAGGACAYTGCATTTTAAATTTATTAATTTGGCAAATATACAGTCAATGTATATCATAATTATATTTCAAAGACTGAGCCTCCCAAGGAAGAAACAGTTCTAGAAGCCCTGAAATCTCCCTTAAAATTGCACTGCTTAGTACATGTATTCCTCATGGGAACCAAGTTATAGAGAACCATGAACTCAGTGGGAATACCTCATACATCATTATGTCAGCATAAGACTTAAATCAATCAATATGTACCTTGGAAAAACCATTTATGAGCAAATATRAACCACCATGAAACACGGACAGCACTGATCTCACATGACCAATGYTGAGTTTGGTTCCAGACCCTTGGRAATGTCATGTGGACGGCTAAATCTAACACATCAGCATCAACRAGTTTCCTGTATGCCATACTKGTACTGGCTTCAACTTGGTATAGTTTGGTTATGACTGATGTTGTGTAGCCATATTCATTGACAGTCCATGGTTGGTAAACACCAATATGTGAACGAGCACCGAAACACACATGGACAGCTTTGGTTTCCTTTAACAAAGAATTTAAGTAAATAGAATTATTGGAAAAAGAGCAATAATGTACTAAATGCAACTGGGAATGATAACATCAAATGATCRATACAAGTAAACAATAAAATAAATKAATAAATAMATAAAATGAAAAGGAATGAACATTACGATCCTTCTATCAACAGAAGCAGGTTTATGCACAGTCATAACTCAAAATGGTCCTTAAATCTAATTTCTATCTAATCCAAACCAAACAAATAAACATACAGAGTAGGCATTAAAACTAATTAAGTTTGTTTTTGCTAAACATCCAGTGATTATACTGTCCATGATATCGAAAATATCGAAAAGACAATCAGAAACAAGCTTAATGGCTTAAGATTTATTTTTCAACATAATTATATTAATAATAATTTATTATTAATAGTGTACAGTATGATCTTCTTACTTGATCTTTAGAAAATAAAATATCGAGGGTAGCATCAACATCAAAATGAAACTTGACATCAAGACCAGTGTGTAGCCGTGTTTGYCCAGGAGGAAGAGGTTTTGTTGCCACCATTTCTTGGTAGTCCATAGGAAAGAAGAACTTTTGTAATGCATCTCTGGATGAAAAAGAAAGTAGAATAAATTAATTATATTATTATCACCAAGTCCCTATACAATACACCAGAGATGTTGGATCTCTGAGCGTATTCCTCACTGAAATAGTGTTTCATTTTTCATAATTAGAACTACAGAAACTGGACGTACCTTTTGGCCTTCTAGTAAAATTTTGTTTGACTTGTTAGAAAAACATAGAAATAATGAACATTCCATGCTGACTTACTGTTGACATTATTGAGAAATGTGATTCTCACAAAGGATAATATACAGTAATACAGTACCGATAAAAACTTTTTTTTGATGCCTATGTACACAGCAGCTCTATTGTTAGGTTAGGTTTTGTTTTCTTATTGGAAGATTTATCTATTTTTTGTCCATTGTTTTCTTAACCTATCATGAGACCCGTTCCAATAGGTGCTGAATGGCCCAGGATATAATTAAATATTCTTTTAAAATAAAGATGGCTGTTGTTGATACACTTGAGCAATTTATTAGTAAATATATTTAATAATTATAAATCCACAACAAACCTTTGTCTATCTACCCAAGGRCCATAACACATGGATGTACTCTTAAGAAACACAACATCAACTCCCCAGTGTGGATCCGAGTCAGGAATACCAGCTTCAACATCACCTACATTTCCTTCAGGGACAAGACCTGAAACACATTATTTTATTATGCATATGACATGTATTTATTGATTCTTAAATGTTTACCATGAAGCTAATATTTGTAATGTGCAGAGATACAGAGGATATGAAAGACTCTACCTCAGTACACAAATTCTAAATATTAAGAAACAACTAAAAAAATATTTGTACGTTTGAAAGGCAATCTTTTTGTTAACCCACATTTCAATGTCTAATAAGTGTCTGAGACTCAGTGAGTGTACTTCTTGATAAAAGTGAACTCTCCCTATATTGGACATTTTCAGGACTGTACAATGTAACACTAAGAATTCCACAAAATCAAGCTTAAGTGTATGCTGTATAGGGAGGCATTTTCTCTGGAAAGGGCATTCAGCGATGAGTGGAAGTGGAAAAAATATTGATCTAGCTGCTTGTCCACAAGTTGAGAGTTGATTTGACTGTATAGTTTAATGTAGCTATAAAATATTAGCTGACGAAAAGTGGAATTCCTACCCCACTTGACTTACCAGGTTCATCYTGATAGTAATTGATCTTACACTGTGCTGTATGTAGTACAACAAATCCATTTCCCATGAAACGTGGGGGTCTGAGCAACCAAAAATTAAGGACAATTTAAGAAAAGAAGGGTTTCTTTGGAACATTCATGACTTTGTGTTGTAGAATATATAATTATTACATACTCATCCTTAGGACCAGAATATCCAGGACTTGGACACAACATGATGCGCACATTTTTCCCTGTCATTTTGACAACATGCATAAACTGATCCAGTGAAGAATGAGCCTAGAGGAAGAGGGTAAAATTACCAGTAGTAACTGAGTGCTGCCATATTTGTGTCCACTTAATTATAATGACATCTTTTGATAGATATTTGACCTTTGTTTATGTCTGGTACAGTTTGCTGCGTATTGCTAAGCCTGGAAGTTTTACATGTAGCTACTGCACTTTCCRTATTCATAATCATTGAATGTATGTAATACATGACATATGACAATACTTACTTCAGATGTTGTATAATAGCCAACAGCATTTTCAAACATAAAGCAAAGYGTRGTTTCAAAGAGTTTATTTCCAAAAGCGATTTTACCCTAGAATGAACAAAGATCAGCTTGAAAACTAATCATTCAATACATTAGGTTCAAACTTTAAGGTTAATTCTTGTTGCCCATTGGCCCTAAACGTTCTTGTTTGGATAGGGACTGATCTGCAAGTGGTGAACRTAGGCCRAGAAGTGGAGCTCATACAATAACAATACTTTTYTTCTCACTGACATTTCTCACTACCAAGTGAGTGTTTGCTTGTAGATAGTTAACAACAGGGAAGTCTGTTTGGAAGTTGACACTCTATCATGCATGCCATAAATGTCTAACGTGGATAAYGCGCACATTCTTCACATTAACTTGCTGTCTGGTTACATTCTGTCCAGCCACTCATCTCATAGAAGACATCTCATGGAAGGCATATCATAAAAACTGTGTTAGATACTTACAGTGTTGATGTCGAATTTTATGGCCGGTACAAGTTCAAGCAACCATGTGGGAAGACCATTATTTGATTCTTGCTCACTCTTTTCCCTGAAAAATGAAACTCAATGAGTTTCAATCAGTGGTAAACGCTAATATAGGAACTTTTCCTGAAAGTATCAGCTAGTATTTTGATTAATACATTATCTTAACTCACCCTTCTGTTGGAGACTTTTTGATAGTGTCTGTCACATTATGTATGTTTAAAGATGATTTAGCAGCATCTACAAATTAAAGTAGAACATTACCATGTGASACCAGATCACAAAAATACASAGTGTAGATCCAGGACTTTCTTTAGAGAGGGCTGCATGTCACACACACACTCAACTAGGAAGGGATGGTCTCCATTTTCAAAACAACATAATCACAACTGAAAGGAGATTGAAGTAAAAYATGTAGGTGCAACRTGTTACAATAAGTGATTACATTTGCCAATAACATCATGAACACCCTTCCAATAGCCTATGTGGACTTTTGGACTTGTGACACAGACTGACAGCTCTCAGTTTTTCCAGCTGATGTTACACTGGCTGGAACACTTAACTGGTATTGGTGAAAACATTGATCACATGCATTTAAATGACTTACCTCCGTATCTCTCAACTCTAAACAAATCCTGTAACTGATCATACAAACCAGCTCTGAAAAATGAAAAGATTGTGGATCTCACTGAGTAACATAGTACCTTTGCTGATATATGCAGTCATGTAACTTAGTTCAGTCATTTTATTAAATACTTTTTTTGGGGGGGGAAGGGGGAAGCAAGGTTAGTACTGGCAGACAGACCAATTCACCCAAAGGATTAAGTTGTCTACTGTATAGCATGGGTTAGCTATAAATTACATCATTGATCATAATAGATCTATCTTTCACTGTTAGCTCAACTGTTGTCTTGGCTTGTGGCTTCCTTTTAAGAACATTTTTTAYTGTAAATGGTTTAAGCAACCTGTTTTGTGGATATATTATATATATTATGATATAATTTTATTATTATCATATCAAACCTGTTGTAGACATGATATTCAAAGCAGTTCATCCAAATAGTGAGTCTAGGCTCTTTGCTCTCAATTTCTGTACCTATAATAAACAATGAAACTGAATGATTTACMATCCATTTCTCCTCTTGTTACCTAACCCCCTTTGATAGAGCCTAAKAAAAATGCTATCATGTGGATGGTATATAGACACAATATTTTGTTGAGATACCATCATGGCTGCTGTGACGTCTTGAAAATGAAAACGAAGCATTACATGTACATATAGCATAATCTATTAATTAAGCATTAAACATCATCATCCATAAACATTATTCAGGAGGCTGGCCTTACTTGTTTCAGTTGCATTAACACTRTATGGTTGTCGATACCCTTCTTCTTCAACATAAGGCAACCAATACTTGAATATAGCATAACCATCTACCACACTGAAATATTATAATATGATATTACAATGTATAGAGTTTTGTTAATAGATTTGCAAAATGAACTTCTTACCGTATCGACAAGTCTTTTGTAATGTACTTTACATCTCTAAACATGATCTTTCCAGAGAGAATGGAGAAGGAAATTGAACCTGCAATTCATAGATTAATTTTTAAAACCCATTTTGCTTTTACCTCATAGCCAATGTGAATCTGAGAGCCTTTGCATTATTTTCTCACAAAAATCGCCATCTCTAASCAATRAGAAATCAAGYTCCACCAACATGAGATKTTATGSAAAAATAWACAAATATCAGAAACTGTTGACTGCAAGGACTTCCTTTTAATACTGTTATAAAGAATTTGGGTTCCATGTGTAAGCAGTCTATGTTTATTTATTATTTCAAGTAGATCAAACTAATCATGATAGAGGTAGATTAGATATCTTGATCAATCAATCTTTTTATCAAATATCTGCAATGGATCAAAGATTAATATAAAGCTCCTGAAGTATCGTCTGAGAGAGCTTTTCGTTTTTGTTTTTTTGTTTTTTGTTTTTGGTAAATTTATAAAAGTAACTGCCATGAGTAAATTATTTATTTATCTCTATCTTCACGTACCGATCTCAAAGAACTGTCCTTCTTTCAAATATCTCATWGTGACAAGTTTTGTAATGAGTGAGCCCAGCAATCGCGAGTGATAAAGTGTCATGTATATAAGCCACAGACTACAACACAGGCAAGCCACCACAAGAAGAACCAAACCACGCTCTTCGTTATCCTGTCCATCATCCTTGTCAGTAGATATCCCGTTGTTATGAAATGGAGCAACTGTCGTGCTTATAACATTAGAAAACGCGGTATTCAAAGAAGCGTTTACTGCCATTTTAACATGTACACCAACAACCAATCCTTATTTCCTGTTATCCATGKYTAAAGTGGTTAGAAATAYACTTGCAAAGAACTACTGCCTAACCAAGAGACATGATTTTGGCTATAAACCACTGTTATTCTGATGTGAATTGGTTTCTYTTTGCGACAATACCGCCGCCATCTTGGATTCGAGGGTGTAAACAAACTAGTTCCAGGACACCTCGGYCATACTTGTGTCAGTCCCTCTCGGTTAKAAACTGAAGCCGCCATTTTGGATTGTGAAGCTGTAGCGATGCTTTGATAAAAGCAAAAACATGAGTGAAGAGCTAAATAATGGCGCCCTCCGTCTAGCTGTGGCACAGATATGTCAGTCCATGGGATGGGATGCTTTGAACAAGTCAACTCATGATCTGTTRACCGAAGTTTTGCAAAAGTACATGTTGGAAATAGCAAAGTGTGCTCACGAGTACTCCCAACTCTGTAAGGATCTTGATTATCTTACTTAAATAAATAACTTAAGTGCACTCAATAGTATACTGAAATTATTTTGCTGTTTTTTTAATCTTACTAAACTTAGGAAATTATATTCAAGCAATACAGTCATATTTTATAATTTGCTTTAAGCTTAATTCAATTAATCCCAAAGAATTATGCTATTCAGATTTTTTGATGACTTTCATAAGGYAAAATATCAGACAAAGGGTTGAAAAAAGTCATAAATAGATCAACAAATTGATTATTATGATTCTAATAATAGTAATAATTGAGCTTAAATTTGGCTTATCCTTTGAGCTACAGTATGTAAATACAATTATTTAAAAGAGTGTGGACTTCACCTAAAAACTAACTGCTAACTAGGTAAGTCCACTAAATATTTCATATGTGAAGCATGCATGTACGAAAGTAAGAAGACATCATATTTATGATAAAATGGGGATGAAATGTAATGAAATGTAATGAAATGGGGATGAAATGTGAAAAGTCTCAACAAAGTGTTTTCATTTCCAGATTGTCACACTGAACCAAGTTTAGATGACTTAGGACTGGCATTCAAACAGACAGGGGTGCTTCTCCATGAACTAGAGGACTTTGTCAGCCAGGTAGACCAAGTGCCATTTAGTTATCAGTTGCCACAGTTTCCAATGCCAAAGCCTAACCTGCTTCAGCACCCTCATAAAGAAGACATACTTGATCGGCCAGAGTTCTATCATGACCATTTGCCTCCCCTCATCAAGGCTTTACAACAAAATGAAGGTCTTGTATTATTGTGATGTGTTATCAATGATATACAGGTCTTTGTTTGGACTCATTTTGTATGCAAAGACTTGATATATACACTCAACTGAACAATCATAAAACATAGTAAGCTGAGGCAGAGAGGGTACATGTCACTACCATGTGTGGTMATTAAATGATCAAATAGAATCATATCGAAAAGAAATTACAAGTTGATGTTACAATTGGTTATTTTAATCTCAAACTGATTACAATAATGTCAGTGACTAGCAAACCACACCCTTAAGTTTTATAATTTCCAATTTWCTCTTTCATTGGCAGTTTCTATTATTATGATATATGATTGTGTGTATATACCTATGATTGTTCAAATGTGTGTATACCTCCTTATAAATRAATTAGGGTATTGTAGTCTGAACACTGATTGGCTGAATATTTTCTCATATCATATAATTTATATCCTCCCTTTAACCATAATGAATTTGAAAATATTTTTTCCCTGGGATACACAAAATTTATGCAACAGTGTCCCTGAAATCACAATTGACCTTTTCGCAGTTACAACCAAAGCAGGCAAAATGTTTTCTGCAGCCCTCAAATGGATAAGAGTACCAAGTCATATCAAAATTATGACTTTTTTCACCTAAAAATTAAATTTCCCTGAAATTGAAAAGGGTAAACAAACTCAAAAAAGACAACTTTTTAGGTTGTTGCCCATTTCTGCCTGGTTTGATACAAAACCACAGGTTCCTTGTGCAACTTGTTTTTCAACTGCGAAAAGAGCTAATATGCTTTAAATGTTTATACTAGTGTGTATGAGTCTAAAGTGTTTTTAATACTGTTTCATTATCTGCGGACGCCCTCCATATTCCCATCTTGAAATCCAATGCTCATAGTATTATATCTTTCTTACAGATGAAAGAGAAGGAAGCAAAGACAAAAACATAGGAATACAAGATCCTGCATCTCAAACATTTTTAAGAAATGAAATCAAGACAGTGGGAAAAGAAACTGAAGCTGAAATCATTGAAAATTCACCTGATAAAAGACCACACATCACGTCATCTCCAGATGTTGCTGAAGCAGACTCAAAGAGACGACGTTTGGAGGGACCTTTCGGGAAGCACTCTAAAGAGAGCAGTCTTGATATCTTACAGGTTCTCCAAGAGAAAAACAGTTCCAACACTTTATCGCCTATTTCCCCGGATTTTGTACCAGATAAGGTTCAAAAACCAATGTTCACCTTCGCAAGTACTTCAGGACCAGCCCCTCCTGTTTTATCTATCAGTAATGTTACGAAAAAAGACACAAAAACTGATAAAACTAGTAACAAAGATAAGAATTTACTATCACCGCCTAAACAGAAATCTTTAACTTCAAAGCAATCCATTGCTTCTTTGGAGAAAACCCCCGATAAATCAAAAACTAATGTTTTAGAAGGATTATCTAGTAAAAAGGGTAGTGTATCAGGTTCAATTCCATCAGATAAATCCCTTCAACTACAATTTTCAAAGCCAAAAACACCAAAGAAGGATAAGTCAAAAGCATCTCCTGCAGAAAGCCAGCCTAAACCAAAAGAGAAAGCAAACCTGCCGTCATCATCATCACTAAGTCCTGTAATTCCAAGTAAATCACAAATACCAACACAACAAGAACAACTTATGCCAAAGCTTATTATCAAACCCATGAAACTTGAAAAGAACCAAACATCAGAATATTCAGTGTCATCAGTTCCAGTTGATGAGAATTTAGGATTAAAAAAAAGCAAAACATCAATTGCTAGTGATCTAAAATCCAAGAAGAAAAAGAAAAAGAAGGGTGTTGATATATTGCAAAACCAGCCATCTGGCCAAGGGCTCCCAGTGCATGGACCTGTGGGGASTAGTGCTGAAGAACCAAGTACTTCTAGCAGTTTACTCAGTCCTTCTAATAATCCAACAATAGTAGGGGAGGTCACTAAAAAGAAGAAAAAGAAACACAAAGAAAAGGATAGAGAGAAAAGCAAACCTAAAAAGGTAAGAGAGTGAATTCCGCTGATTTAATCCAACAAAAGGGAACTTGTAATTAAGTAATCCCTGTAGGCCTGCATGAAGTATATTATACAGTCACGTACTGATTTACTGTATGTTCTCAGGCTTGCCATTTTTGAAGCATGAATGTGTTTACAAAGAAGGCTCAGCTTATACACTATACAAAATTACACAATTTCTACAGTTATTTTATAATTTTATTTTTTTTAATATCTCTGCTTTTTTTTCTATGACCAGTGGCAAGCGTCACACAATAGTTGGGACAGACTCACCTAGTAATTCATTTAGCACACATTTATTAGATAGTAACTTGTCTTTCACCATATAGTGAATATATATATATTTAAATTGCATAACATTCTGGGGCTGGTTGTACACTATTAGGAAAGGCTGATACTAAGATTTTCAAGTGGATATTTTTATTTACCTTTTGCTTCCAACCCTCTATAATTATTAATTCTTATTTTTTTAGTTGAAGGAGTCTGCTAGCAAGGAGACTTCGGCTCATATCCCTACCATAAAACTGAAGCTAGAAAACACACCTACCACTACTATACCAAGCCAAACAATTCCTACTGCCAAGATGTAAGTTTCCCTCATTTTCTTTAAACAATGACTGAACAAGTTTACGAAAAACTTTGCCCCTCAGATTGAAGTATAAAACAAAATTCAAACAAACTTTTTGACCTTTGTATATTTTTTATTGTACTGGTTATAGTAACGTTGTGCAAAGTGAAGCACCAACTATCAAAATCAAAACTGAAACAAAAGAAATGCAAAGGACTGTCATCACAGAAACACTTTCAAGTACTGTGGTAAGAAATGGGATTTTTGTGAATATATACAGTATCATTATTTATTTCATGAATGATTTTATTGATTGATTGTTTGATAGATAGATAGATAGATAGATAGATTGATTGGTGATTGATTGATTGATTGGTGATTGATTGCTTGGTGATTGATTGATTGGTGATTGATTGATTGGTGATTGATTGATTGATTGGTGATTGATTGATTGATTGATTGGTGATTGATTGATTGATTGGTGATTGATTGATTGATGGTGTGATTGGTTGGTTGATTGTTTGATTGATTGTAAAATTCATTAAATGATCAACTAATCTATTTTGTTATTATTAGCAAGTATACTATTGCCCAGCATGTGGTTTGCCAGATGATGGGAGTTTTATGATTGGCTGTGATACATGCGACAGCTGGTATCATGGGTAAGTTTATCAGCATTTTCCTTCATTTTGTGTACTTTTTTGTATTATTTGTTTATTTAAAAATACAATTTATGGGCCATGTTTCAAAAGCATCCCATTTTAGCTTTTGTTCATATTTGAAAATAAAAATACATTATAATATAACCAAAAATTTCTCTTTATGATGCACAAATGGAGATAATGCAAGATTGCAGCTTGCAAATGGATGTTCGAAGTCCCCTGATTTTCCATATAATTATTGCATTGAATGCTGTCCATGGCCCTTCAAATGGGCATTTACTAATATTTATTGTAGAAGACAGTTGTAGTTTCAGCAGAATTATATCACAGAAGACAAACAAATTTAGAATGGAATTTTAGAACAGGAGAAGTCCAAGCCATTGATTTAAGAGCCGATGTCTGGAAAAATCAAACAAAGTCAAAAATACTTGGCAACGGCTGAAAATTC